TGTATGCTCATTATCATAACTGTCAAATTTAAATAGATAGGCCACTTATCATTTTGGCCAGTTGATCAACATAGTCAAGTCTCCTCTGTTTTATTCACAGTTTTGACTATTTTTATGTCTCATAAAGTTTGTGTGAAATAAAAAAAGCCCCCTTCTTTCTTTCAGATGCAACCATGCTGTTACAAAAGAAAGTAATTAAAGACAGTGACATCTCGGTTTCGATTAACCAATGGTTCTCTCAGAGAACCCAAGCACACAAGGCCTCTGCAGCTCCTAAGCCGTAAGTTCAATCTAAATGATTTTTTCGAAAAGACCAATTACAATAATGCAATAAATACGAAAGGGGGCGTCTGCGAGTGGAGTATGAATATCTATCAAAGTTTTGGTGAAAGTTGCCATTCTCCATTTTCATTATTTCCAAGATTTTTAATGTGTTTCTTTAAATGACCATCATTTTAGCACGTATCAAAATAGCAATCTGCAACTTCCATAATGAGTCCTTTTTTATCCTTCTTCCAAGAGTGTATCACTTGATGGTGGTTTTTATTAAAAAGAAAAAAAAATTAACAAAACAGTTACAGTAAAAGTTAGAAGGAAAGCAAAAGTAAAAGGAAGACAGAGACTCCTGAAGACTGTTTCTCCTTAACCTTCATCAAACACTACAATAAAATTAAGGAAAAGCGTTGAATAACGTTGAATTTCGGATTGGCCGGAATATTGACACCATCTTGTACCGGCCTGTGTCATGGGTCAAACAAATCCTCAAAATGCTTCAATGCTTTCAAATGCTTGATCAATGCAACCACCTCCTCTTTTTTCTCCTATGATAAAACAATATCTAAGTGTAGCAGATTTCTTTGATTACTTCATTACATTTCAGTACTTTTTCTTTTCTAATGTCCTAGAGAAGATGTGTTTCTCTCTGCTCATTATTGTAGGAAGCAATTTCACATGCTCAGTATTCTATTCTTTTTGTCTGCAGGGTTCAGATGAAAGTACTTCTACAATCAGAATCAGAATCAGAATCTGATGAAGAATTGCCACCACCTACATCGGATGATAATGAAAGAATTGAAATCATGGACTCAGATGAACAAGACGAAGATGCCGAAGGCGAAGATCGCTCTAATGAGGACAGAGACGATGACATTACTGATGTTAATTGTTAACAATGATGCTGATTGAATTTCTAATTTTTTGCTTGCCTTTTCTTTACGTATCCACTAGCATTCATTAATGCTTCTTATAATTTAAAATATTTTGACTATTTACTATGTGTTCACATTTAACGCTATTCCCATTCACGATAAATGAAGGAAGGCAATATTTAATCTTGCCAATTTTCAACAATTATTACTCGAAAATTACTCAATTACTCAATGGGCCTGTTGTAAACTTTTGCCAGTTGCCAAAATGATAAGTGGCCTATCTATTTAAATTTGACAGTTATGATAATGAGCATACAGTCCATCAGCGTCGGCAGTTACTTTATGCTATATTCATAATCCTGTAATTGAAGGAGAGACAGAGTGAAACTTCAAAAAAATTTGGCAAATAAAAGATTGGATTTTAGACTTAGTTCATATGCTCAAATTCGATGTGTCATTAACAGGACAAGACTAGGCTGTTTGTCACCCCACGGCGAGTGGCGTATCGACAACCGAGATTTCCATTTTAGTGAGTGTCTTTCTTTTCAACCTTTCAAAATCGCAATAACTTCCTCCCTCATTGCACGTTCAAGACTAATAACAAAGGAGATAGTGTTTCAAAACGTAAGACCCCCCCCCCCCCCCCCCTAAATTGTGAGGGTAAGTTTATTTAGCCCACCTTTAAATCTGGCCAACTGTCTGTCAGAAGATTTGGCAACAACTCCATTATCACTCATGGCTTAAGGAAAAAATACTTACTTAGAACTAAAGAGGAAGCACTTGAAGTAATCCTTACCCAAAACAACACTTTTTAGCTTCATCGCCACAAAAGGATATTTATGTTCTTGTCCTTGTTTGGACTGTCCAGCCCATGTAAATTTTTTGGTGATTTTATCATGCACCAGAGTATGCAAAACATTTCTTGCGGTATTGGTATCATGTTTTTTTTTTGATACATTGTAAGATAATGCACTCACCTAGTGTCTATCTGTAAGGAATGACTCTTATTTTTGCCCTGCAAAAGTTTGCAACAGGCCCATTTACTTGAAAATTATGTAATATTTACGCAACACTTTCCACTCAAATTTCAAGGGTCTCTTACGTCGAAGAGAATCCATGCCACCCAGAGTGCAATTCATCAGCATATTGCAAAAAGCAATCAATGTGTTGCTAATCTTAGCAATCTAATTTCGCCAAAACAAATCTGTGAAATCGCTTAAAATCTGGTTTCATTTAATGAAGTTTTTGTGCCCTGATTATACTTATGTTTTTTTGTGTTTTGATATTTCCAGACTGTACTTTCGAGACATGTTTTATTTGCCCTTTTTTTATCTCTTAACTTAACTCAGGTTTTTTCTCAGTATTATTAAGAATTATCATCTGATGAGACTGATAGTCTAATTTTCTATAGATACCTCCTATTAATTTTCTTAAGCAATGTTTCATTCAAGGAAGATGTTTTATTTGCCCTTTTTTTATCTCTTAACTTAACTCAGGTTTTTTCTCAGTATTATTAAGAATTATCATTTGATGAGACTGATAGTCTAATTTTCTATAGACACCTATTAATTTTCTGAAGCATTGTTTCATTCTAGGAAGTTGGAGATCAGGACACTCAA